TGATCCAGTTGGCTTATTGCTCCTTGTCCCATTCCCGCAGTACTTTGTTCTGCGTTACCTCTCATCAAATCTGACACTTCACCTTTTCCCTCGCTGTTCTTTTTCGTCAACTGAGATTCTAAAGTAATTGAACAGGCCTAAGTAGACTTTTGAAAAGAAGAGGACAAATATACATATACTGATATAACGTTTACAATATCCTTATATTCTCTATAGCGTGAACATTTTATTGTACAAACGTTTAACTTGTTTTGAATATATATATATATTATATTGAAAACAAGTAAAGTGTGTGCTGTTTATTCATCATAGAATTTATCATGAACGAGTCACAGACACCTACTGTAGAAGAATCCTAAGCCCAACAACTACATGGTATATATTTATATTATTAAGAAATCTAAGTAAAAGCCATTTATTTTAAAAATTGGCAAAAGAACAACAAAAAAACCAGAACCCATATAATATTATTTTCTAAAATCTGACATCACGGTTTTGGCTTCCTCGGGTTTTCACATTCTATCTGTGGTTGTACTTCAGATTTCGGTGGGACTCTGATACTGGGTAAGTCTTTATTAAAACTTTCTTTTTTTACGATCTCATTTTTCTTACCTTTATTACATGAGTCCCACTCTCTGACGAGTGGTACCTGACCAGATATTCTTTAATGCTAAATCCACACTGTACGCCATGTTGACTAGCACTTTCCTTTCCATAGCTTCATATGCTCACCTTTGAGATGGGGTGTTTCACAAGATCGCTTGTAGGTGAATAACCTTGTGATACTTGCTTCATAAATTGGCCCATCCTGGACTGTACCACCCATGGACTTCATGGGTAAAGCAGAAGGGGATAGCTGCCCATCCCTGTCATGCCTCAACTGAGTAAATTGATATGGTCTGCTTTTCAAATTAAGGTTTCGTGATCAACCATTGTACTGTCTCAGATGTTAATGTTCTTTTGGGCTCTCCAACACATTCTCAGCCCCCCTTTTCTTCTAGTGGAGTTCTTACTACTTACAAGTTTCAAGCCACTGGGGTGGTCAACTATGGAGGCACCCTGTTGGATGGGTTCCATATAAGATGGCTATAACCATTCAGTTCAGGATAGGGCAGTGGTGTTCTGCCAGTGTAGATGATGTAATATCCTTTGATTTGTGATTCACGATACAGCGGAGTTAGACGTCAAAATGAGTTCACCCCTTAGATTGGGAACCCTCTTCCTACTGTCACATAGATGTCGGTAACTTGTAGGCTGGTTTTGGATTTTGAGTGAACCAAACAACACAAGTCCTCATACAGTTTTAGGGTTGTCTATCTTACTCCCTCAATTTTCTTTTTCTGTGTTGTGGGTCACAGCAGGGATACGTGGGATTATTCTGGTTCTATCCTTGGCTCACCCTCGTTCTCTCTTATTACGTGGATGTTATTGTCTTTTGGAATGTCTCTACCTGTTTCATGATCACAGGCATTGATTGCATGTGATAAGACTTCCTTTTGATATTGGATGTCATATTCCTGGATCTAATGCTGTGTAATACCCTGGAATCAGAGTGGTTCTCAATTCCATAGTTCTTCGGTTTGAGGTGAAGATGGTATGATCGTTATCCTACCCTCGCACAGATGTCAGTACCCAGCGAGGAGGTTTTGGATGTAGTTGACTTACAGAGTAGAGTCCACCGCGTCCACCTAGCCACTCTACACCATGGGACACATCCTTGTTTACCCACTTTTTTTATTGTGGGATTGAATTACTATATCTTTCTTTGGTTAGGATCACTTTCCTACCACATTCTCTCCCACTCAGATGTGCTCCTCTCATTTTCTGCCATGGTTTTTTACATATTCCACATATGGGTGAAGAGTATTCTTGGATCAGAAGTGGTGCAGTTCTCCTCTTTGAATCATCGGATCTGACTCTCTCATTTCCTGGGGTATCCTTTGGACACATTTGGGGGTTATTTCTATCATTCCCTCGCAGGGTTCCCTCTTTCTAATCAGTGTGGTATTCTAGCTAATCTTGTGAGAAGATGGAAGTACCGTATCGAAAGTTATAATTTTCCTATTCTAAAAATGTATTTCCGATAGGTACTTCTCTCCTCTCACACTTACCACCCTTCCTCCCCACACACTTTCGGTGCTTCGGTTTTCTGCCAAAAATTTAAGTGATAGTTTGGTAGAGTCACATAGAGGGAGTCACATGAGTGTACTATTCTCCGATTGGTGGAGAAGTGACACACGATGATTTGCATGAGAGATATATTAGAATCAATTGATTCAATAGGGGTGTGGAAGGCTTGTGGTATGTGTAATAAAAAACTTTGCATAAAGATGGCAGAAAGGAATAGCTGATCTTGTGAGTGGAGGGAAGTACCTATCGGAAATACATTTTGAGTATAGGATAATTATAACTTCCCTCATGTAAAGTTGCATGTCTTCTTGAATTTTTTTAATCCATACAATATGTTCATTTTCATTGGTCATACATAACCTAAGGAATATGGATGGACCATGTATTCCCAATTGGGAAAACCAACTAAAAAAATGAAAGTCCTTGAGCAAAGTTAAATTCCTTGGGAATGTAATATTTTGATCACTGTAGTTTTTGGTTCTGGATTCTACTCATCTCTAGTTGTCAACATAATTCTTGTAGTTCAGATAGATTTTCTTCCTGGACTGTAGCTTGTAGTTTGTTGGTACCTACTTCCTTTACAGTATGAGCACTCTGGCTTTCAGTATTTCAGAAGTAGATCTGCCTGATTTGAATTTTACATTTTTAGAATTTAACATTTTAAAAAGTATTTAACTCTGAAATTCATTTCCTCTTACCTCCCTAAAACCAAACATTTTCTCATGACTACAGTTTTCAATCAAATCTGACTTATGGTGGGAAACCAGAGCTTATGTAAAATTTCCTGATGCATGAAAATTGCATCATGTGAAAGATAGTAGAGTGGAGAATTATTGGTGACACCTACTCTGTAATGCATAATGAACATTTTAAAATTTCAAGTTATGTATTGTGTTGAAAATTCAACAAGGAAAGACTTTCAGTATTTTGGAGGTAAGTATTGTTTTAAATTAATTTTCATTCTAAAAAATGTAAAAATCCACATGCTCATGTCATGATCATATCACAATCTTACTAGTAAATAAAGTATTTGTTTACTAAAAGTTGGTAAATATAGGTTTCAACACTGCTTCTCAAAGTCATTTATGTCTTACTTAAGCATTACTTTGAATGAGAGTTGGAAACAAGATGGCATTTATGACCTAGTTGCTAGATGTTTTAAAGCATCATTCGTCATTTAGTGGAATAGTGAAAGTAAAAACAGGTTAAGTCTTAAGTGAAGAAGCACACATAATTTTCCACTCATTTTTATTTCTGCAACATTAACATTAATGATTCATAGGAATTTTTCTGAATTTGTAATCATGCAATGTAGTTATAAGACTTGATGCTATTGTATACTTCTCAACTGACATAATATTCTGTCACACTTCTGGCAATCTTCAGGTGAATGATTTATCATTCTCCTGCAATTTTCAAATCCAATACACTGGTGCATCAAATTTGAGCCTAACATTTGACATACATGTGTAAATTAAAAATTAATTGTATTTGCATGCAAACTTATTAGCCAATTTGTGATGTAACACTATTGTTTGTAAAAGAATTTGACTGTCTTTATAAAATTCCATTTTTTTGTTTGTTTAATTTGAGGTAAACCAAACAATATTTATTTGTTCACCATATTAATGAAATGACACTTCAGCATAAATATAAAATTTTGTTGCATATCCTACAGAAATTTATGTACTTGCATGTATATGTATAAAGTCATTATACATGTACATTGTTATTATGCATTTTGGTTAAACTTTATCCATTGTAAGGTGTAAAGTGATAGGTTGTAGAATTTATGGAATATGTACTATAGAATCTAGTCATAATTCCTTCTCGATACTGTGTGTCTTTTTCATCTAGTTATACATTACTATCCACTATTATTCTAAGTGGACCATTAGGTAACTTGGCTAATGGGAAATGGTCCAATTTCTTTTTCTCATGTTTTAGATCAGTGGATAACATTAGTGCAAAAATTGTCATGACAATACCTCATTAAATTACACCATATCTAACATTTCTATCATTTTGTTAGATAAATTGTAAAACATTAAGAAACGATCTTTCTAAAAATAACTTAGTCTTAACATATCTAGAGTTAAATGATAAAATGTTTCATTGAAATTACTTTGAACTATAAATTATTAATGATTTACATGAGGCATTTTGGAATCATTTGATTTCAATAGTATTTTTGGGAACTTTCATTGTAAAACTCTTGTAGTTAAGGGTTTTTATAAGAATAAAATATAGTCTTTTTCATTTACTCATGTATAATATTGTTACGTCTCTGTTTGTTTGTTAATTTCCTGTAAAAATGTAAAAATTCTTTCCGAAGAACTTCAGCGATACAAGTTCTTTCTTAATTAAAACCATTTTATTCTTTCTCGTTACAAACTTTGTAATACACTTAATTTCCACAGTCACTTTAAAGTTAACTACTTTTATAAACACACACTGTAATTCACAACAATTCACGTACTTTACTTACGGTGCTTACAGCTCGCTTGACTCAATTATCTATCTCTATATCTCCTCATCTGCTATTATTTGCTGGGCTTATATACTAAAATAGAGGGCGTGTGGCAAACACTCGGACCTTCATGATCCTTGTAGAAACTCATCGCATGTTACCAGTGTCACGTGACTTCCTCTATCGTAACAATATTGAATTATACAACTAAAAGCTACATGATCCTTGTCTGCATTATAAATCTGTAGAAAAATAAATAATTTTATTTCCTTTAAAAACGTTTTATTTGGGATTGATGATATTAGTATATTAAAGACAGCAAAGTGTTTTATAATCTGTAAAACATTATATATCAAACCATGGTTGTATGTAATGATTTTTCCTGTTTGTTTCTTCTTAGAATACAGCAGTGCAATATATTTTGATGGGACAACCAGAAGAAGCAATAGCTTTATTAAAAGAACCAGTGTTTTCTGACCTTAAGGCAATTGTTTTGGTTTTAGCTTGGAGTCAGAGTTTTTCTGATATGTCAGCTGGATATGTGTTAGACACTGTAAAAGAAATGATTCCAGTAAGTATAACACTGCACTTAAGTTTTCTCTCCAGTTAATTTGTGAAGATCAGAAATATATTGTCTCAGCTGATGGCAAATATGCATAAAATATATTTTGTAGGGAATGTAGTAAACTACTGCAAAGACAGTGCAGTTTTTTTCAAAAATTGTGCATGAATGTGATAGTTTTAAAATTTTTTTTACAGATTGTAAAACATTAGTTGTTCAGAAACAATGGTTACATAGGTGCAGGTTTATTTTTTTTTTAAGTTTAATCAAAGTAATCACTTAAAATCACATCCATGATTATTCTTAAGAATTTTTATGTATTTTCAGTTTGATGTGTTAGTTTTTAAAATACTTGGAAATCCATTTCTTTCTATCTTGAGGTATTTTAAAACTTTTATTTTCTTGTCTTCTCATTCACCTTAATCAGACATTTTAGTAAAGAAAAGTGCTTATTAGAAAGTTTTAACAGAAAAGAAAAAGGGATGAGGTGTTGCACCTTGCACTTATAATTGTGGGCATCATTAAACCTGCATTTGAATAAAACCTTGCAGTGGTGAAAAAGAGACTGTTGTTATGTGTCATCTTGTTGTGTGAGTAAATGTTACGCAAACTTCTTTTAACAGGTTAATTCATGTACCTAAATGTTGTGAATATTTAAATTAGCAACTTTCTTTTAAATTAATAGTTTTAAAATGGGTGTATTGTAAAGATCTCAATACAAAATATGTAATGTACTGTTTTAACATCACAAATGTGAGGTACTATGAATAATTATAACTTACTTGATATAAACAGTGATATACAATATATGTGATAAGTAATACTAAAGTATTTTGTGCTTGTTATTTTGATTTCAGTGAAGTCTATCTTTGAAAATGCCATGACATATATATAAAATTGTATGATTTTTTTTTTTGGAATCAACATCCATCTGTTTTCAATTTCAGAAAATGTCTGTATCAGACCCATTGCTGAAAGAACTTTGCCAAAAGCTACATTATTTTTCTCATGTGACTGATTGGTGTGTTGAAAAGTTGAGGTGAGTTTAATTTATTTTGTTCTTTTAACCCTTTTTATACTGTTTTTTTTAAATCTAAAAATGTGAGTATAATTATTTCATGACAAATGTGTAAAACCTGCTTATTAGAGAATTTGATAAAAATTTACAGAATTGAAGATGGTATTAATCTTCTGAACATAGGTAGGTCAGTGTTACATTAAAAATTCTGAGATGATACCTTAACACTGCAAACAGAATACCTTGATTCCTTCATGCATCTGCCTATGAGATTTGCATGCCACTAACTTTGAGCTACCTCCCACTTAAAAACAAGTGTTTAACTATCTCGCTAAGGGCTCAGTTGAATTGGCTGAATACTTGACCCCAAATTGACCTCTGTAGTTTCTATACTATAACTTCTAATGTGTTCTGTGTACCTTCACAAAATTCTGCAAGCTTTCAGTAATCATTAGGTCATTTGTAGACAAAAAATTTGAATTTTTAAGGAAACATCTTCTTTAAAAATATCTTCATGTTAAGATTAAAAATCTCATTTGCATAATTGCTAAAACCTCCTAATCAAATTTCAAACGTTTTTTTCAGTAAAACTTTATAGTTTATCTGTTACTTTCTCTACCCTAACTCTATAAGAGGATGCTCAATTTGACTGACCTTGAAGTCCCCTGCTGGGACAGCAGTAAGTCTACAGATTTACAGCACTAAAATCAGGGGTTTGATTTTAATTTTAAACAAATCAACATTACCCTATTTTTCTTTCTAGAATGACTTCAAATTGTAATATGAAACTATATTTGTTTATTTTAAAGAGCTTTAAACTTGAACAGTATATATCTATTTATACTTAAATTTTATTGTTTTATTGCCCTTTGAACCATGACTGATTTTCCCACCATAAAGTTTGTAAATCAATTGGTGAAGGTTGGAACTCGTGTCACCATATTGAATTGCATAATGGATGAGCTACTTGCTAGTTGCTCATGAGTGTACCACACAAACAATTTTTATTATTATTGTTATTATTCTTTATTTTACCTAATCTAACCTAAAAAGTTTCTTATTTTAACATTTTTTAAATTTTATAGTAATAAATAAAAAATACACATGAAAAACAAGAAATAAAGTACTTATCTGGGTCTTTTTTTTTGCTGTCAACTGCTGATCACACTTAACCCTACTTTTTTTTATACTAATAGTACTACTGCACTAAATAATTTTTTACGTAATTAAATAATGCACCAAAGAACACAGAATAACAACATGCAAAAAGCAGACAATGTTCTATAGGTATCACAATTTTTCTGGCTTTCTAACTATGTGACAAGAGCTCTTAAAAACTCAGCTAAGGTTGTCAATATGTTTCCTATAGGAAAGTGAAATAGACAATTCTCTGTACAGAAAACAAGTTAGTATAATATGGCATATAATGGATTAAAACCTTGGCTTTCTATTGGTTATAAATAATATAGTATTAAATATCAGAGAGAACTGTTGGCAATTTCTGAAAGGGAGGATGTGACAGGTGGGTGTAGCAAGAGGGGTTATATATATTTTTTTCTATCCATAATGATTGTTACACCCCTGGCCATCTTTTGTACTTTATTAAATAGATCTGGTGTTACTCAATATGCACAAGCTCCCTTTCAGGATGCCTGCAGTCACCTTTTCTTGGAGTGTGACCCTCTTCATCCAGGGATCTTTAGTTCACTGCTCTTATCAGTTGGGGGTCAGCACATCATCTGGATCTTTTGTTCTAGTGGATCATACTTGCAGATTTTATGACATCACTTCTTGTCAGATTCATCCCTTTACTCACTTTGGCCTTGATTTTTGCCAACCATTGGTCAAGATCATACAGACAGAGAAGTAATCGATACCAAACATGATCTGTAAGTTTTATCTCCCATCTAGATTCTTCTCTTTACCCTCTTTTAATATAAGTCTCATCTCTATCTTAAAACCAACCCAGTGGCTGGAGTTGCTTCACTAGTTAAGCCCATCAGCCCTGGTTTCTATGTGCACACTGTTAAGATGGAGTTTTCTGCAAGACCACTACAGTAGTATATTTATCTGTTCACTCCAGACTGAATTTTAGGTACCTCCCTTGAATCTCCCCAAAGCATACCTCCCCATGATCATTGAGTGGAGCACAGGAAACTCTTTCCAGTTCCTAGCTGCTGGGGTGGTTGCCTTGGAGAGTTCCTCACTGGTTGTGTGGCCCGACGAAAGAGAGTCTTAAGTGGACAACATGATGCTTTGGGAAGTAGGGCAGGTGTGTCCTTGTCAATGTAATGCAGAACACATACCAAATTGTTCAGTCTGTTTATTGCCCAAGCCACACTACACTTCATATTTATTGAACCTATTGTGTGCAATAGCTCAGTTGATCATGTACTTTTTCTTCCCATCCCTACGATACATTAGCTCATTTTTGCCTTCTTCTTTCCATACTTCCACCTATTAGAATAATATACCCTGTCTGAGAAGGATGCGGTCTTTCATGAGTGTTCCTCTTTAGTGAAGTAAGGTAAGTGGCTCATTTTGGAAGTTAAAATTTTCCTTCTTTCCCACTATTGGTGTACATTATTCTTGCCTCATCTAAGAATGAAGTTAATTTTGAGTGTAAGTACTTATGGGGATCTACTGTGCATGGAGGATGTGGAGAGCTATTGTCAAATGATAATTACATCACGTACTAGCATAGATCACATCAAAACGTGTGATTTAGATTGGAGATAGTTCAAGGCTAATGGTGTGTGCAAAAGTTCATAGGCATGCATGAAATAGCTACTGCATGCAGATAGGTGAGTATGTATTGGAAAAACATTTTCAAGCAAGGAAAATGTTAACTTTGTACTACCTATGTTCCCTTCTCTGTATCACATGACACTACTTTGAGTTTACCATAAATCCCATGTAGCATTACATGTACTGCTAAGACATAATCTAAATTCTGATACGGTACATTACCTCCTCTCACATAAATAACTATTCTAGATAAATGCTGACCTCTATATGCAAAAAATATTTTTTACACATTCCACAAGCCTTATATCACAACTCCATTGGAATTGACTGATTCCAATGTGCCTCTCATGCAAATCATTATGTATCAACCCTGCACCAATAAGAGTGTGACATACTCTCATGACGCATGTGACTCCCTCTATTCAATTCGACTGAACTATCACTTCTCTTTTGGCAGTACTCTTTTTCAGATGTTTTTTCTTTTGGTGCTCTTTGTGTGAATTGCTTTTTTCATTTACCTTTTTTTTTTCTTTACATTGAAGAAAACTTTAACTTAATTTTCCAGTTTTTTTTTCTCACACTTGCATATTTTACATAACACTTGTTTGATTTATGTATTTCTACAATGAATTCTGAGGTTCATGTTCCACTTTGGGTATCATACCTCTAGCACTATTTCATAGGTTGCAGGTGGGAAAGACCCATCATTGGAATTCTCTGCTATTATCCGCCAAGAGATTGATTGTTATATGGGTCAGTTTATTTTTCTTGAACTTGCCCCACTAATCCTCCTGAACAAGCCAAACCTGTTCAGGCCGATGAGTTGATAGCCTTTTTACACCACTGGATTTTGCCCTGTCTTTCACCATCCCTCCTTCAGAATCAGTTAGGCCTAATATGGCATTTTTCAACATGATTTCTCAAGTATTGGTGTTTTATCCATTTCCTCACTTTCCTATGATTCCTTATTACCTCCACGTTGACTTGTTTGTCTTCTTTGCTCTCACTTTATACACATGCTTTCACTGTTGTTGAGATCTTCTGGGTCATGATGCAACCCTGTCCTGGTTTTGTCTGCTGCCTTTTTCTTTTAGGGATTTAGGTATGGCCCTTTATCTTTGGCAGTATGTTTTTGATCATGTATCTGAGACTTTGAATCATGTGTGTAGTATGTGTGTAAACACACTGCCCTTTCCTCTTTGGTTGCAAATTTGTCACAGTTGGAGCCATGACAAGCCCCTATTCCCGTTTCCCATCCTGGTTCTTATCTACCCTTCTCTGTTCCCTCCTTCCAGGGGTTTCTCATCTAGCCATTTTATTTAACATAGATGGGCATGTCGCCAAACGTACCAAAGACTAACCAGTGGGTTCTGGTCTGGTGAGAGCTTGACCATATGATTCTGTTACCCTTTGGCGATCTTTCTCTACAGATCCATGGTTCTTCTGGATTTCTTAGAGGGACTTGTCCTACTATTTCTTTACAAACTTCTTTGTTTCAGGTACTCTTTTCCTTCCCCATGACTCAGAATCTTGCCACCAGTCAGCATCTGTATGAGGTGGTGCAAGATCTTCTGTACCAACAGGCCATTGCACCTGCTCATCATCTTTTTCCAGGCTTTTATTCCAGGCTGTTTGTTGTCCTCATGAAAACTGAAGACTGGCAGCATATAATAGGTTTGTCCCACTTCAGTCTATTTTCAATCCGCCCTGTTTTATCTTGGAGTCATTTTTCACCCTTAGGTGGGCTTTTTCTCCAGGTTTATAGATGACCAAATTACATATCATGATATCTCATCATTTGCAATCCTCTCTTCAGTTTGTTCTCTAAAGGATGATTTGTCTGTTTCGTGCACTGCCCTTCAGAATTGCTTTGGCCCTGTAGGTTTTGTTGAGTAGTATGAGCATTTGTTTGTCACTTATGTGCTCTCAGGTTGCATTTTCCCCTTTCTTTGGCTGGCTCGCTATTGTTGGCTCGTTCCAAACAGGAGTCCATCTGTTATCCTCATCGGTTGCTTCTGGAGGCAGATATAGTGGGCTTGTTCATCAAGTTGGAGAAGTACTTATAGCAACCTATCCTATATCTTGTCTTATTATCTTTCCTCCTATGCTTATCGATGATCTGCATTGGTGATTAGACACGACTCACATGTTGGTGGGTGTCCTGCTTCCTCCTCCTCATCTGGATTTACACATTTCATGGATGCATCCCTTCAGGGATGGAGGGCATGGGTCGATCAACAGGAAGCTTCGGGGTTTTGGGCTGTGGCTGAGAG